TCTTCTCTGTGAGCTGGAGGATATTACAAAAAAGACTCCTGGAATTTAATTATTTTAGTATCTTTTTGCTATGAATAAATGAAAGCCAACCCCTGATTTAAGCAACATCTGCATTCTTTTCTACGTTTAGATCACCATTTAGGTCTCTAGCAATGATATAGTAAAAAGTCATTTTAGGAACACTGACACAAACATAAAAAAGAGAAGTAAAGGGCCTCCATTTCTTGTATGTTTAGCATCTGATATCTTCCCTTGTTTGTGTATTAATCAGTACTACAGGCATATGAGAGCATCCTGCTACATGAGACAAATTGACTTTCACAAATTTCCCTAAGAGCAGAAATAGCTTCAGGAACAATTTCAAGGAAATAATTATGGTCTAGACAGATTTATGACTTCTAAAGACCTAATCCAAAGCACATTAATGTCAGTGAAAGGACTCCCATTGACATCAAAGCCCTTCGGATCAATCCCCAAGTGCGGTGGGAATGAATTCAGAGCAGTAATGATGGTGGACTAAATACACACTTGCAGCAGAAACGTTACCACCCAGACCTTTTTATTTCTCAAATCAGATTAAGAAGTCATTTTCTACTATTTCACAATTACTTCCAGATGCACGTCATCGCAAATGGCATTTTCATCCATCTGCATGAACCAAGTGTGCATAGAGATGGAGTTTCTACTTTGCCTGAACTAGTAATACGAATGAAAACCACCAGGGAAAATAATTTTGGAAGCCATGAAGTTCATGTTGTAAATGCGGGGGAGAAACCTTGGATTGCAATTATTCTTTCTAAATGCTTCATGATAGAACAGTCAGTTCCACTACTTACTTATTTACTGCTGTAGTAGTTTTTTTCCAATGAAATTTTCAATATTTTTGCTAGTCTTCTAAGCAACAAAAACAAAAACTAAAAAGAATACACACAAATTAGCACTAGCTTCAAACCTGGCAGCCTAAAAAAATGTCAGAAATGTCAACTTTGCACATTCTCTATTTAATAACAGCTCTGCTGGCCCTTCTATCCTCTCAAACGCCTTTTTATAAGCTAAATAATTTGAAGCACCCCTCTTCTCTGACCATGTTAATCTAGCTTCATTCCTTTTTCAGTCTATAAAATTTTATATTGTAAAATGAAACATCAACATGTTGCACTACTGAAAATCCATTTAAATTTTTACACATTCAAACTCAGTTGGAAGATGTGGCTGACCAGATATCAAGATAATGTCTGAAGTGCTATCAGCTTATTGTAGAAATGGTGTATATTTTATTCGCTAATCTGGCAATGGATCGGTTGGACAGGTTCATTGTCACCTTTGGATCAATCCCAATATGCTATGTATTGAACTCTGCCCTCCCAAATTAATTTTAGTAAGTTTGAAAATTGTCTTTAGGAAATTATATGTAATGCTACTGAATAACGAACATTTCTTAGCATAACTAACAAGCCTCCAGCCTTCAGTTCCAAATGAACATCTGACCTACTACCTTAGTCTCTGTATCCTTCTCTGCACTCAGGAAAACAAGAATTTTGCTTCTTCTTCAGTTACTCCTTGGATAAGAAACCAGATTATGAGAGGCAAGGTAATGCTACTACTGAGATTTAAGGTAGAGAACTGTGAACATTTTTCTTTTCCTAAAAGGATTGTAATGGGAAGAAAATCGAGGCCGGCAGAAGAAGGTAATGTTGGCTGAAAGTATGCAAGGAACTAAAGTAGTTTGTTTCATAAATCAATGGGGCTCTAGTTGTAATAGAAATGGTGCTCTAGACACGTTCTACATACCACCTAGGCCACAAGGAATTGTTTTTAGCCTAGTGCCCTAAAGAATCAAAGCTTATGTGATCAAAGTGTCTGTGTGCAACTTTCATACCCTTTCCACCACATCTAATAATAACAAGCAACCCTCTTCAGTCCATTCAGTCCTATCTGCACAAGGGCAATTTTCACAAAGTCACTCTGTTCTTACAAGCTTTCTGAAAGTAGGTGTCCAGATAGAGGGAGAATCCTACTAACAGCCTAAATCAAGGCCATCAACAAATCTTGTTTGCATTCATCCTTGAGGTGGAAGTACATAGGGACTGCTCAGACTACTTTTTATCTGTTGCTATTCCAGTAATTGCTTGCACGAAGATTAATTCAGTGTGTTTTTACACACCAGACACTCTCAGCTTATGATAAAAAACATTTTTTAAGACTTGCCAAAAGTTGCAACACGCTTTAGCCACGATTTGGCACCATCTTTTAGATGAGTTCACAGTTCAATGCATTCTCTTATCAGCAGTGTAAGAGAACGCTACACCTGGAATAGACTGAGTGAAAAAATGAGAATGCTCCAATTTAAATGTGCTGACTTTTACTAGTTTGATGCCAATGAATAAACTGTTGAAGCAATTCCCAAAGGTATATGACAACCTTTGGGGATGATATGGGCAAAAGCCCTGGTGCATTAAAATATGCATGAATTATGTTAATAGGGAACTGGCCAAGCAAAAAATAAAATTAGTCAGAGAAATAGAACATCTAAGAAAGCTAAATTATCAAGATTATATTTTCAGGGATATGAAGTTTCCCAGCAGCAAACCATGATATTAGTACCACATTTTTTTTCCATCTCTATATCTTATCAGTGTGAAACAGGAGCTGTGAAATGCAGACTATTCAGCTACAAGACATAACAGAAAAATTAGTACAAACCAGGGCCTCTAAAAGAGGTAAGAAATGACAATGATTCACTACATTCCAGCCATTGGTTTTAGCCTTGAATTTCACTACCAGGGAGATTTTTTCTTGCTTTTAAATTCACTTTTAATCCTCCCTCCACAAGCTCTCTCATGCCTTTTAAATGTCTTTTCAACAAATTCAAAGCAAAATTTCATTTTGATGGTCTGTCGTCTGCAGTCTGCTTCACATCTCAGGACATGACATAAGAGCTCTGTACAACTTTTATAATGGAATCCATAGTGTAGTTAATTAACTAGATTTTAAAAGGATACATTAGATTTACTGGACAAAGTGAAACACTAAAGTGAAATAGTTACAATTTCCCTATGAATGTATTTATTCCGGTGAAACAAAACATTTTTAACAGAAATGCTAAAACAGCCAGACTTCTCCTTGGTCAATGATTGAAAGCAAACTAAAAATGTCACTAAAGCAGCTAGATAACCAGACAAACATATATATAAAACAATATGCTAAGTATACTTTTATTCAAGAGCAACAGATTACAGCGTTATTTTTCATGATGAAAACACGGGAAGATTTCAGTGTCAGCTTTTAAAAAGCTGTTTAGAATATAAACAACTCAGCTGAAAATGTGTGAATATATATGACTTTGAAGGGATGATGCCCTACTAAAAGCATTGCTTCTGAGCAAGAGAAGATCTCACAGTGTTGCCTCTGCCCACATTCCACACTTATCAATTAATGTTGGAGAAAATGTTGTTCAGTTCCGTATTGAAGAAATGGAGATAATTCAAGGAAACTTGTATTTACCCATGCTGGCAAAGTCAAGGTTTATATCACAAATGGTAAAAAAGCTTGCTACTGATTTCTCCATTCCTTCAGACTCTATCGGCACTCATGTGCACGTGGCTGTTATGGCATAGAAGCACATAAGCAACTCCTATCAGGGTTTGTGCTCAGTGGACAGAACATGGATAAGTGGAAGTTAATGTTCTCATAAGCCAGGTGAATTACTTCCCCATTTTGTTATCGCCATCCAGCTAATTTATGATGAAAGAGCCCACTGCTCTCCCTCTGTCACTCTACATTTCTGCAATATTTTGGTTCCCTTTAAGACTCTCCCTTGTCTCAAATCCCAGCAATACATGCTTGTGGTACATAAATATTTGTTCATGCAAATACATTAAATTCAAATATTTGTTTTTGTCCAGTAAACATAAGAAAAATAATGCTGATGTGCTTTTCACAGAAGACAGCGCATCATTTGAACTTCCTGTTTTTCTTAAGCTTTGCTCCCTTGATGAAAATATTAACCAATCTTGAGATTCTACTTCCCAGTTTCTTGGGAAAACATTTTGTTGCCAAAGCCTTATTAGAGACATCAGCTCAAGTTTTAAATTGAAAAAAATAATTGAAAAGATGATGCCGAGATACCACAGCAGTACTTCAAATGCCTGCCTGCTCATACCTCCACGTTGTTTCTATGCTGGATATTGATATGGAATTAGAAGCAGACAAGGCAGCGATGGGCCTCCACAACACTTGGACCACATCAGCATCTATAGGGCCCATTCTTGTTAATGTTGCTACAGCCTGTCAAACAACTCTAATGTTGTCACGGTCAAGCAACCTTCAAGGAATGGTTATAAGTACAGTCCAAGCAAGAGATAACAATAAGCAGAACTACTAAACCCTCATTTGGAGATGAAATAGTATTTCTGGACGAGCGGATGCGATTAACTTGCTGCATATGGGGTCAGTATGATTTGTTCGCACAGCTATGCAGGCAGCCTTAGCCCTGGGCCTCCCTTGCTATTAAAAATGCCAGCCTTCCTCAAATCAACCCCCCATGCCTCGCTGATAGTCTGAGCTGCTACCTATGAAAATTAACTATCATGTCTTAATTTGCACAGGAAAGAAAAAAAGTGAAACCTCTATACCACCAGAGCTCGGAAACAATTTGCTAGCATAACAGTTTAAATGAGGGTGTTCTCCCGTCTCCACTCTGCCTATTTGCTGCCTACTGTGTTCCAGCTGCTTGAAATGAGATTCTCAGAAACACGAACAGACACAAAAAAATGCTTTACTTACTCTGTCTAAATGCTGAGTGTCGCTAGAACAGTACAGTCTTGGCCCAATACCAAAGAATAGTCATGACCCATTGCATCTTAAGACAATCAAGTGGTTCAAAATACTGGGGTGGCACTGGCTCTGGCTCAAACATTTAACTGAAACTGCACATTACATTTTGCTAGTTCCAAAGAAAGCTACTATAACACCTTTGCTTGGAGGGACAAACCTCTTACCTTTTGTAGCTATTCGAACACACTGGGTTTTGGTTTCCTGTTGAGAAGGGAAAATTAAAGAAAATACAGTCAGACCATGTTTGTTTTGTCCCCTTTCCCATTTCATAACTTAGTCCTAGATGTGCTGGTCAAGTGGGGTAATTGAACAAAGTGGCTCGGGCTTTGAGGGCTACAAGTGAGCCAGGCTGAGTAATTTTGCCTTTTACAAAAGCTGCAAGCTGGATGAAACCTTTCTGGACATTGATCTGTGCTAGCCAGGATAATAATGGGGAGAAAAGGTACGGTACAGCCTAGACACAGCAAAATTACAGATAGTTCAAATCTAGTAGAAATTATGCCCATCTGAACACAGAGAAAGGGAGCAATGGAGAGAAGGGGAGAGTTAGTGATCCTGCTCATTCTGAGACACTGAAACTCTGAGCCAGCGCTGACCTCAAATGGTGCCGCGCAGCAAAGGAGATACATTTGCTCAGCACTGTGTCCAAACACATTTGTCCTGCTGCATCCAGACCGCCTGGAGTGGAGTCACCTCGAGCATGCCACAACGTGCTCCCCAGTGCTCCCGGGTTTGGTGTTAGCTTAGAAGCAGCTCAGGTAGCTCCTCGCATGCCATACAGTTAATCTGCAGCCTACATAACTTCCCCCAGAAAAATGACTGTAATGTGCTTCGAAAGAACTTGCATATGCAAAGACAATTTTTATATATTTTACTCTATTTTTTCCTCCTTCAGAAGTTTGGGCAGCAAGTGAAACAAATGAACAAATAGAGAAATGATTTCGTTAATGCACATTGGAGGCAAGTTGGGAAAAAAAATGTTCAGTCATAAATGGGTTTTCTGATCTTTCTGTACAATGTGTACAGAAATTTTAAAGGCAAACTGAAATCACATGAGGTTACGTGAGAGGATGCAGCTGCTGTTATATTAGATCATTCTAACCAATATTAGCATGTAATTAGAAAATTGATAATGACAGTTTCATTCTATAAAAAGTGCTCCCTCCAGCCCTCCCACCCCGTAGCATTGCCTCCTCATATACATTTCCTGGGATCTCGCTCCTCTTGAAGATTGTTGAATAATAGTGCAAATATGTCTATAATGTTTGGTAAACACAGTATGTAAATAATATGCAAAACCAGACCTAGAGAACTATAAATAGTCCATGAAGATGAATTTTGCAATCTAAGTGAAAGCCCTATGAAGTTTATCCTGTTAGTAAGGTTACCCTGTGAAGGTAACCTTACCTAACTAGCACCCTCCTCGCTTACTGGATTTCCTTATCCACTTCTGTTTGAAGTGATTGTGAAGACCATAGTACAGCCCTCATCCCAATTCAACAGATTATTTCACAGAACATACTTTTCTTCCTCTTGCGTGTTTCATGTGATCATATTGGCTACAGTTAAGGCCACACTAAAATGTTTTGCAGCTTGGAGTTTCCTCACTACTGCTATATCCATATCTTGGCAAAAGGCTGGGCAAACCTCCTCCTCGCAAACCTCCCCAGAAACAGAAACCTGATCCAAATTTTTGGATCACACCAGAGAGAATCACATTAGATTTAAATCCTTCCACAAACTGAAATCTAGTTAAAGTTAAAAATAATTTGTTCCTCTGTCACGTTTTACTTATCTGTCAAAATGCAAAAGGAAAACAAGATCAATTCTTGTGTTTAGTATTTTTGTGTCCTCCACATTTTGCCCTTGGTGAATGAAAAGTCTATTTCTGTACAATTTAGTCTGCAGAATGCCAGCAAGAGCGAAAGGAATTACAGGTAGAAAGTGAGGAAAATATGATTGAGTATCTAACAGTTACCTTTTATTTTCCTTTGTTTGCTTCATATGGGTCTGAGGGTAAGAACGAGAAATGGGAAACTGTCTCTCTCATCAGAAAAAAGTCTCTGATGCTCAAGCAGCTCCAGGGTGGAGTTTCATTTGTTATTGCCTTTTCCCTGTTCTTACTTGAGGCCTGTGCAATTTTCATAACGATAAGGCGAGATTATACTCAAAAGCCTCAATGGCAAAGCCATTTTTTACCTATGATTTGTTTAGCCACAGCAGAAAGCCAAGTCTAAGGGTAAAAATGGCTTCTATTTCTCTCAGATGGCTCTGGTGACTATCGCCTGCTATCAATCTCTCCTTGCATCAGGCAGCTCCTTTCTAACTTGCCCACGTGCTTCATATTGGCATAGTTTGAGAGATAATAGAGCAATTTCCTTCAGTTATCTAAAATATAAATCTAAAATTTAAATGTTTAAATATCTCCAATTTCTGTGCCTGTCACCTTTCCTCCCCTCGCAGATCACTCTCTCCTCTCACCCATTTTTCATTTACAAGAGAAAAATCATTCCAGAGCAGCAGCAGCACGGGGCTTGTGGAGCCATGTTGTTTTTCATCCCCGGAGCCCACTGCGGTATTTAACCTCCCCACGCTTTTTTCCCCTGCCACATGCATACCAAATCAGCAGCAATACTCAGCACCACAGCTGAAAATGAAGCGCTAGGGAGGTAATGAAGGTGAGCGACAGCCTTACCTGCACTGCACAGTGGGAGTGCAGTGCCAAAGCAGACCTTTTTATGAAGGCTCTTTCAGACATGCTCGTGAGCCTGTGGTTACTTTTGCGCCTTTTTTTTTTTTTTTTGGGATGTTTGGGATGAGAGTCTCAAAGTTTGCAACATCTTATTAGCCCCCTGAGCAGCCTGCTTTGTGTTTATCCAGCAGCAACTCCTGCAGGGTGCAAGAACTGAGGGGGTTATTTTCTGAGGAGGCCGCATCACAACAGTGACATTACTTCAGCGCTGCAGAGGACCACTGCTACGAGATGCATTAACGTCTCATCTAGTAACCGTTATTATGATATAAGAGCAATGTGAAATACGAATGGCGCAATGCCATGTTGTCACTGGGCAGAAGCCAGGGCAGGGGTTAGCACACTGCTCGTGCCAGCACCGGCTGTGACTAATTCTGACAGTCCTAATCGCCACCACAGGCACATCTGTGACTCCGTCCAGGAGGAAGGCACGGGCTGGTGCTTACCTTCTCGACACTACTCATGGCCTGGAAGTAGATGTTGTAGCCTTTGCGAGGTGCCAGCGGTGGGTTCCAGAAGCCCTGGTAGGTCCTGTTGTCACCCACAGTAAAAGGGGCCGGTTCGGGCAGGTTGCCCGGGGGCAGTTCAGCAGCAAAGTAGTAGGGTGATCCTCCGCTAGCAGCATTCTGGTAAGTGACAGGGACTTGGTAGCACTCCATGGCACCCGTTTCTCGCTTTGTTCGGTGCGGGTGCAGCTCCTCAACGACAATCTGGTAGGCGCTGGTGGGACAGAGGAAAAGACAGTCTTAAAGGTCTCCTGAACAGCAGGAGAACAGCAGTACACATATATTCAAAGAACAGCAGTTCAAAACAAAGAACAGCATATTCAAAATCTCCTAACGATTTTGTTTTTTTTCTTGCCTTTAAAGAAACCTAGGAACAAAACTGACTTTAAACTACAATAGATTAAACTCTTTGTCTGCTAATTGGGAGCATGTGAAGTTAGCATTTCCCTTTGAAATGATATTAGAGGCACCTCAGCTTCAAGGCCCAACATAATGACTGCCTCGAGGCTGCGCTCGAAGCACCAATTTGCAGTTGTCATATCATTAGAGACAGAACGTGCTGACAGGCTTCCCCACCTCTTGACCTTGCTGTGGCTTCTATCTTGGCTCAGAGCTATGCAGATCTAAAGTACAAGTGACATGCTGCAATACAGGCACAGATGGACAGAAATCTGTCCATTCCACCAAAATAGGCTGCCTCATTCCTGTACAGTTGTCAATGATAAAATGCTACAAATTGCTGAGGCAGATGGCATTCAGCCTATTAAAACGCCATCCCACCCCCCCCCCACGCCTATTTCAAAACGGTCCACGGCTTGGTCACTTTTCAAAATCACCTCCTCAAAATAGAAGAGGTGATTATAATTCCTTTTGCTCCTTCAGGGGAACTACACAACAGCAGTATGTTACCAACTCATTACCAGCTTTCCCTGATCCGCAGAATGTACGGACTGAGAACAGGAGGGAATTTTTCAGTATATAAAAGATGAAAAAATAGACCTTTTGAGGTTTTAGAGATGGTATGTATATACACGCACACACACAGAATTTCTCATCTATATGCAGATATATTGGAGGACGCTATCAAAATAATCACCTTGTTAGCAGGATTAGTAAGAAAATATGCATGCAGACAAGACCTGGAGCACTTCAATTAAACTGACAGAGCTGCCTGTTTTGGTTTTGTTTTAAAGTTTCCTAAACAGGGAAAAAAAAAAAAAAAAAAAGACCAAAGTTCTGGAAGTGCCACTGCACTGCTGCAGGGAACCCTAGAGGCGAAGACAAAGACGGTCCTTCTTTCTGAACTTATGGGGCAGCATTAAATTATTTTGTCAATTTTCTCTGCTACTACTGTTCCAGAAAACCTAATAACTGGCCTGGCAGAGATGAAGTATGATTCTGTGGAACGGAAGAAAGGACAGGAGGAAAAGAATAAGATTTTGGTCTCGCTGCTTTCTCAGGCTGAAAGAGGAAGGTAGCATTACCCTTTGCTGGCAACTAAAAAATTAAGCAGAAAAGTATCTCCCCTTTCAAAGTGTCTAAGAGGAATAGCACAAAGTCACCTCACTTTTGTAACACCAGTTAAAAAAAATGTAAACAACAAAAACTAATGAGTTAGTTCCAGGGATCTCTGTTTCTTATAAACTGTCTGCAAGCAGGACTGGGCTGTAAATCATCTTCTGTGGTAACCTCTATGCATTAACCATGCCCAGTTAATGCAGTCTGCAACGACAAATCACTTCCGCCTGACCTTGGTGCTCCGGATCTTTCTTGATGCTTCACAATTAATGTGCTAGCAAGAAACGTAAAAGCATCAATACTCTACAAACTTGACAGGATGTAAAATACAAAATACAAAAACAAACAAACAAACAAACAAAAAACACCTCTTTATAATGTTCCCAGGGATGACATTACATCTGGTGTGCCAGAGATGCCTGGAACCAGACATGGTTAAGATCGCCGCTCTGGCCCGGGCAGCCAACCAATTCAGCGTGCTGGGAACACAAGTACTGTCTTTACTCCAGCCATTCTGCAGTCATTTTCTTGCGAGCTGCCAAAAGACTCAGATTGACACAAATTCTGCTCTCTGAAGTGCCAGGAGAGCAGGAAACTTGTCATCTGCAATATCCTGCCAGCTTACACGAATAAAGCCAGCAGGGAGAGCGGAAGGACAGGGCAGTATTCACACGTGTCTGAGGCAATCATCCGCTGGAATATACTGGTCTGCCATTCAGCTCAAAAGCTGAGATTTACCATGGATTCAAAACCAAGCTTACCATCCCCTCCCCTTCCTCCCATTTTATAGGGACTAAATGAGGTAACCTATTAAAAAAAAAAAAAAAGTCTATATATCTTTTACATCTCTTCAAAGATCAAAACAAGCTGAAAATAAAAGATGAAGCCACTGAGAAAAAGTAAATATTAGACAAGTCTCTTTTAATAGCATTCTTTGAAAATATTGCAGCATTTTCTGAAAAATGTACGGCACGATTTTAAGCAGAAGGCCTCAGTAAAATGTGAATGTTCCAAAATTCTTTTCAAATGGAGCAACTTTCATAATTTAAATGTGGTCTCATTTAAAAAAAAAAAGTCTTCCAAATTAACGCTTTTTGGGCCCTAATCTTTAAAACACTACAAAATGTGGAAGAAGGGAAACAAATATGCCTAATGTTAGCTATCTGCAATGATATTATTTTTAGTTAAGGAAAATACCATTCATCCTAAATAAATTTTGTTTTGTAATTAGTAAAAAAAAAAAAAAAAAAAAAGGAAATTTTCAAAGGCTCCAAATAGGTATTTTAAAAAATTTACAAGCAGTATTGTTTATATAGAAGTAGAATCTAACCTCTTTGAAAAGGGGCTCTGGCAATATTTTTCATACACCCATTATAGGCCAATAAGGCATATAGGAATAAAGTCACTTATATAAGGGGATCTTTCTGATGCCATCTGCTTAAATTCATTTGCTAACATATTAGTGGTTCCAAAGCAACTTGTTACTCTATCTACACATAACAGTGTTAGCAAAGGACACTCTAGTATAAGATGTGAAAAAAAAAGAAGTCAAAGTTCTTGCAGTTCACCAAAAGGAGGAGCAAATGAGAGAGAAAGAGAGAGGGTTGGAAAACCTGGATGACGATCTTCCTTTTGCTAGATGACTGTAAAAAATCTTGAACTATTGTAAAGAGTAATACAAATACCAGGACCCATTACATAAATTGTGATCATAAACTCCAGAGAATTGTCTAAGATTGCCAAGAAAGTGGAGAAAGTGTTGAAAAATTAGCAGGCTCTTGAATTGAGATTTGGCATGATATGAATAAATTACTTCTTTGATGTCAAAATGTTTCTCTTTACTTAAGAAAACCTGCACATGGCCTCCCTGTTGATAAAAATGATCAAGAATAACCTAAAAAGACCCTGCCAACCAATCTTAACCCCTTCTTTTCTTACATCCCTAAAAAGACAGTCTTTCAAACAGACATGGTAGTGGTGAACACATATTGTTCGTACATGGGCCTTATTCTGACCAGAATTCCAGATGGAGATTTCCATCCACATGTGCAGCAAAGATGTAGCACCCTCTCCTTCGACATGTGGCAGACTGACCAACAACCCAAGGTACAAGCTGAGCTCCTGGAGGTCCAACTGACCAGTACGTTTTAGTTTCTCCCAGCCGTAGTCCACAGAATTAGGCTTGTCGTAAAATGAAAACAGACCGAGTGTGCATATAGGGTCGTAGGAAGCACATTCCCAAACAAATAGGAAATATGTTTCATTACTGAAAAGTCATTCTAAAATAACTTATTCTAACATTCTGGACTAAGCTCTTCATAATTTGTATATGCAGTAGAATTTGAAAACAGGATGCACATGATTGATTGTTTTGCTGGTGCTCCCTTGGGTTCCTTCAGAAAAAGTGCAGTGACAAATCATATCTTCAAAGGAATCCCTGATGCCCCTGATGGGGACCTGCTCCACTAGAGTGATATAGGCACAGCACACACTTCACGATAAGCCTGAGCCACCCAGCTCAGCCTCCCTTCGTATTTCTAGCTTGTAATTTGGTTTGAAACTTCAGGAGGTCATAAAGAAAACCAGAGATTGCACACTAACATTTGACAGGCGAGATATGATTATCGCCATGTTTGCAATCGTGGTGACAGTGGCATGGAGTACCTTAAAGAAGAGATTGACAGCCACCCATAGCTTTCATGTGGGTTAAGGAGCATCAGTTTCCTGGGAGCTGTCTTAATGCTGAGGTACAATAAAACCTGAGCACAGCATAATCCTGTTTGTAAAAGCAAAGTAGTACCAGACTACAAGCTTTCTGTTTGTTTGTTTGTTTTAATACAAACCTACTGCTATGAGACAAAGTGAGCCTTTAACCGTCTACAGCTTGAGGGATTTAGAGGCCAACGTACAAATAAACCTCTTCAGTAAGACAGCTTCCTCAGCTTGATGTTAGAAACCAAGACTTGAGTCCCTTCTCTGCTCGGTCACAGAAGCAGGCATGGAGACACATTTCCTTCCACCTTCCTTGTAACTCTCCTTACGATGTAAGGATAGGCATGTTGTGGAAACACCACTGGAGAGTGGCTGGAGTGAAGTTTTGCTAAAAGTGGTCATAAAGTTTAGTGAAACCCATTGAATCAATTCAGGATTTCAGTGGATTTCAGAGGCTACATTTCTCTCCCTTTTAGAGATGCTGCTGAAATGTAACAGACTGCAGCACGAATAACTTCAGCAAAGGGGACAAGGTAAGGCCCTACACATATGCCTGGAGCATCCGTCTCCTTTGCAATAAAGGATAAAACAGCTGTGGGTCATAGCCTTGATTTTCAGAGTCTTTCTGGATTAAGATCATTGTTTAACCTGAAAACCAATCCAAACCATGAATGATGGTCATAAAAGCAATGAAATTGGCTGGCTTGCTTTTCTGCAGCTTCAGTCGGATAGAATCCTCAATGTGAGCTACAGTTTTTAATTTCTTTATTCCATAATTACTTTGACATTTGTGCAGAGAAAGAGAGATGACTTTGTTTTGATGAGGAGAGAAAGGTTTTCACACAGCTTTGATGCACGTTGAAAACTAACCTTTTTTATTTTGTGGTTTGGCTACACCCCTTGACAGTAACCAACACACTATATGCATTAACAGCATTTGGCAATACTCTGAAAGAAAAAAACTTTTATACTCCTTTTCTGTTTTTTTTTTTCATTTAAGTATGTAAAATGCATATATAAACTGTAATTTTATACAGTATCTGCCTGTTCTATATCATATCAGTACACTGTGCTCTGCTGCTGAAAAATAACCCCCAAAAAATCTTTCCTAGCTGGCTTTGCTCCTGGGGCACTTGTTATGAGTATACAAAGTACACAAGCTAGGAATGTAGAATAGAACTATATTGTTTGTATATGAAGCATTACTCTCCCCCATTTTTATACTAGAGGTCAAATCTTACCTCTCAGGCAAGAAATACATCATTCTTTTTACCCCCTTAGTGTTAGCTAATTATTTATAAGAATAATGCTTTACTGAACAGAGTGTATTTTATATATAAAATGAATATGGCTGTAAGACTAACAACTCATGAGGGCCATAATATAACTCTGGTTTTAATTCTGGTTCTTCTTCTGCGCACAGCGAACCCCTTTCCACATACTGTCTGGAGAGCACCTCCATTAGATCAAGTCTCCATGATAGTCTCAAGAGCTCCATGATAGTCTCTGGATAGTGCATGTTGTCTCTAGTTTAACACAGAGATGTCCACTCTCTAATCTAATTGAGTGCTAAAACTATCTGCAAATTCATTACGGTATTTGTTTTAAGAATAAAGCTCAGCTCTCTGGTTATGGTGTAGGATTTATTTCCTTGCCCTCCACATATTAGTAATTTCATGGAATCTCTTAGGAAATAGTTAAAGTGGAGAGGAAGGAAGAGAGATAGAAAGACAGACACTTACATCTTGGAAAATTTAATCAAAACACTAGTTACTAATACTCTATCCAACTATCTCTGTTAAACTATCAGATAACTTCATTCACATCCTTTCTCCCTTAGTCTCAATGACGAAGTGAGGTCGTGTGACTGAGGAGGCTGTAAAGAAGGTGTTGAGACGTGAAGTGTCCTGGTACCGGTTTGCTCTGCTGTCACTGACTTTCTGGCAAGTAGACTGGAGGTGCCAGAGTCTAGTGACATCCTGTCACTTGACCAGTCTGTGACAGAAACCCCCTCAGGGCAAAAACCTAGGATGGGAAATTCACCCTCTTTGGTCCTGATTAGAAATAGGCAGTGTATTTCTTGAACAGGAACAGTTTGGGATATGGCCAGAAACTATATACCTGGAACATTTTAAAAGCTCATACAGAAGAGCAGTGAGTTTAAGCAGCTGCATAACTTGGGTGCATTTTCAGATCACAGGTCTGGTTTCTACTGTACCAGCTCCACACAAGCCCTTGTTTAGGAATTTAAGGACTGCACTCAGTGCAGCATTTTAGCATTCCTCACACCAAACAAAACAAAATAAAACAAAAACAAACAAAACCCTTAAATTTCCTCTTGGGTAATCTTCCAGAAACTAATGATATATGGGCTTACAAATTTATTTATGAATATAAAAATTCAATATCTCCTATAAAGGAGGTGAATCTGGATGATCACTTAACATGGAATAAAAATAAATAACTTGGTCATATGCTTGGTCATAATGCTCTCTCAAATGAAACCTCCTTATGCTCAAGTGTCTGTGTACTCAGGTACCTGAAAAGCTGAAATATTGACCTATAAGACAATGTAGAGTAGGTACAGAAAAATGACTATGGGAATGTGACTCAACCCTGTGATACCCAGGTAAAACATACAGTCCACTTAATAAAAATAGAGATGAGAATCAGTTTATTTTCCTATACTTTAGGGCTTAGGCACACTACTTAACATCAGCTGAGCCATAAGTGACTTACATAACACAGGATGAAATGCATTAGCCTGTGTTTCTCCGAAATGTCACAGGCTAAGAGCATGAAAATGTTCCAATACTCTGCAGTTAATTAACCCCCAGTTAATGCGTCCTGTGGCTGAATCTTCCTGATGCAGCAGCATCAGCAAAACAAAGGAAATCAAATAACATCACAAACACTTTGCACTAACAAGTAGAAGTAAAGAACAGGATGGGGATTATTCTTTGCAAACAGAATTAAATTCTCTCTCTATAGAGAGTAGAAAGGGAAACACCCCTCAAAGTTAACATGAATGAAACATTTTAATGTGATTATGAGACATGCCAAATAAAATTTAATAGCTTGCTATGTAATTTTTAATAAGAAGCACCCCAAGAGAAGAAAGGTCAAACAGTTTGTATTCATCACTATTATTCTGCCATTTCTTCTGAGCTTCCAATTTTCCAAATATACATATATGCTATAAAATAGCTGATTTGAAGTCCTGGAGAGGAAGCGTTATTTTCAAATCCACTTTCTGATAAATACCTTTCAACCTCATATTTCAGTGACACCAAGAGAAAGTAAAATGAAGTGATAATGAATAGGGGGTGATCCTGGGGCCCTTAAATCAAACAGGACAGACAGCTAGATGATTCAAGGCATGTATATCTTTAAAAACCATACAGAACCTTCTCTTATTAATTACAGGTCTATTGGTAGGCTCAGGCTGGATAACAACAGTAATGGCGAAGGAATATTGCTTGGAAGTGAACAGCCTTGTTAAGCAACATATGACCAAATGCAGAATCTTTTGCATGTTTTTTTTTTTTTACCTGATAGGGGCACCTTTGGCCTGTGCTGGTCTCAATAGTACAGTTATTGTGGTCGCAGTTTCATTGAGAGATGCATCGACTCCTTCATAATCCGGTAAGGTGGGAGCTGATTCAAGGTGAGCATCGAGGAAAAGAATGAGAAATCAGTGAAAACATTTGGAATTTTCATGAGATTTTGATTGTTCACAGAACTGCACAAAGTCACGATCTTCATCAAGTTTGAGTCTTTTTAACGATTTTCCAGGCACAACGTTTCAGTAGCGCATAACTGAGACGCCGCGAGCAACTGATAACCCCTATCCTGAACTATGCTCACTCCAATCATTAACCTATTAAGCTAGACAGGTGTTTTAAAGGATAGAAATAGAGGGAGGAGGTGACTGCAAAGGGAAACCTGAAACAATAAAATCCCATTTTTGCCTCTTTCTGTGTACCTTTCAAGCAAGTATATTCACTGTCTTCAAAATCCACCTCCGCTTCTTGCATTTTGGATTCCCCAGCAATTTAGGCACCTTTCGTGTCTCATTTTAGCTGACAAGAGACACCAGACCAATACCTACTGCACTGCAGGAGAACTAAGCAGTAACAGATGTGCATCTGTGGATTAACATTAGACGAGTGAGTCTGTTCCCAGGCCCATTTCTCCTTCCTGTTCTAACCAGGATGACAGATCTGTTCACAACCCAGCCAAGGGTCTTAAAAAATCCCCCACAACAAACGCAAACTAGAAGTATTCAGAAACTAATTTTCTAGTGGAAAGGCTGTTAGGTCTTCAGGGCAGCAATATTTGTTGCAAGTTGGATGGCTGGGGTAGCTGATATTTTCAGCTACCTAACTTTACTCTGATGCTGAAAGACCATCACAGCCATTAATGGCAACTCTATTGCTAATGTCATCTCTAGTGCAAGGAAAGAAGGAGGATTTTCCATGATTCAAAAAATAAGATTTCTGTTGAAAGCTAACTTTCAAAAAGCTTCAAAACGTACTGCATTTTTTTAGCATGTGGATGCACCCTTATAGTTTATCGATGATACCACTGTATTTTAAAATGAACACCAAATAACTTTACTAGCAGGATGCCAATCATTTAAGCTATCATAACTTGAAGATAATATATCAATAGATAGAAGAGCAATGAAAGGTTAAAAGCAGTGCTTCATTAGTCCAAATCCCAGACACACAAAAATTTTGTTCTAATTTCAGGGAATCTTGTTATTTATAAAATTTGCAATTATTAATTACTAAGTAGTACACCATGGTCACTGCAATCATGCTAATCACTTGCCAGTTTGGTTAAAAGGAATTTCTTCACTCCTCATTAAAATAAAGAGCTTCCAGAAAATCATACATTGTAAAAAGTATCAGTTGTGCAGAGCGATATTAGACAACAGTTTGTGATAAAGCAAGATGAAAAATAACAGGGTGAAATTCAGATAAGAAGAATGCCATAGCCCACTTTGAAGCTTCCCTAGTATTAATTGTATTTTAATACAATTAATATGGCCTCATGCTGTGTCTGGGAAATGCAGCAGACTAGATTCTGGAAATACATATCAAACGCCCAAAATTTCTGGCTGGAAAGAGAGAACATATTTGAGGAAATCTGAATACGCTGTAACTCTAAGTAATCCAAACATGTTGAGGTGCTTATTTCTCAAAACAGAGATATGGCTGGCCAACAAACATATTATCAGGATATTACACACAGTTACAGTTTTTCCCTACCTCAGGGAAAAGAAATGTTAGGTTTTTAGTCACGTTTTTCTGTGGAATGGGTTGGGGGAGGAAAACCTAATACTCCAGGATGGAATCCCATCGATTGTTCCAGGCAGCAACAACCATAGATTTTAATTTGCTGTATTCTTCAATGTAGGAAGTTGCACTTTAAGTTTTCTCACATTTTGACTCATGTGAATATTTTTGGAAACCTGGTAAGGTGACTATGTCAGTAGGGTTTCCCACAGAAATGTTAGATATATTCCGATACACTATTAATCTCTCTTTCTATGAAAATTTAAGTCTCCTTATGGTGGGTAATAAGCAAAATAGCATGCTTGGTGCTGTTCGTGGTTTTAAATGACTTCCTTCTCCACTATCTGCCAAGTTCTGGAGTCATTATGTCTCGCTGTCATATTAGCAGAATCTCCAGATACAGCACCGACTTAACTACTGCTATTACTTACATAAGCTATCAGTTTATTCTTTGAAAACAATACAGAAATTCAACAAAATAAAAATACTAAAACATTCCATGTGTCTTTCATTTCCTAAAATTTTCAGTACATTTGTGTGAAGCATCAATCTTGTGATGTGTGCACAAATGTACACATTGCTTTGTAAAAAGTATCAGTTGTGCAGAGTGACACTATACAATTGCCCAGCATAAAGCAAAAAAACTGAATAAAAGCGTGAAGAAGCAGATCTATATGAGTCTGGTAGCGGATTCAGACTTCCTGCCAACCTCCCAATTACAGCTGCTTGCTGTAAAGTGGTGTCACCTTGAGTCAGTTCATTTTCTGCATCTCTGCAAAACAAACCTAATACTTAGTAATTTATAGAGTGCTGTAAGTCTCAATTAGTTAAGGTTTGTAAAACACTTCGAAATCTTTGAAAACAGAGTATTATACAAAATCAAACATTCAAAAACTATGGGCTCACAGTTTCCACTTGATGATTTCCTAACTCCCGCCAGGAAAATGCCCTCAAAATAATTTTGCTAATGTTAAAACTATTTTCAGAACACAATAGGCTTTTTCTTTTAAATCACCTCATTTTTTAAGTCTTACCAAAAAAAGCTTGTAAAATCAGTGAACATTCTCCCCTCCTCCTGCCCTTATTTATTACCTTTTTTATTTACTTACCTGAAATGTTGGTTGTGACATTGATTGTGGTTGCTGGTCCGAACCCTTTGACGGTGCTCGCGCGGATAAAGAACTGGTAGGTGGTACCAGGGTGCAGGTGTGAGAAGACGTGGTGTGTGCTGTTCCACAGCTTTGACACCGTTTGCGGAGGCCCTGCAACTGCAACTGCCGGATCAAATGATCGTATACTGCTATAGCTGACCTGTAGAAATAATAATTCCTCCAATTTTGTTGCAGTTTTCATCACAGTATGATTAAGTTAGTTCAGATGGGAAGGAGAAAAAAGTCATATGTTCACCTAGCTACATAGCTATCTTGGTGATTGCTCTTCAATTTGTTTTTTTAAAAAATATTTCCTTCCAGTCTCCTGCATAGGTCCCCAGGAGACTCATACATTAAATACTTTCTAAACAGAATATATGCATGTGTTTTCTTGACAATTGATTCCTAAATATCTTGTAAAGCCTAAAAATCTAGTATCAGATCTAATCATTTTCTTACTTTTTGTGCAACCTTTCCCTCCAACAAATAAATTCCATAGATCATGGCTGCCATGGCTCTGCAAGGTTATATATTAATAACACAGGCTTTTAAAATTAGCATCTCACACATGGATTGTAACATTCGTTACACTCAGATGCTAAAGCTATTTGACAAGGTCAGCCAACATTTGCATCGTAATTATGAGTTTCGAAATCCTAGTCACTAGGGAATTCCAGTCCTCTCTAACTGGTAGTAGCATATAATTTAGCAGCCTGCCAACAGAGCGTAGACACCCACCATGAGCCACCTTTCTCCTTCTCCCAGCTCTACGGCACGCTCGGGGGCTGTGCTCTTACCTCGTACTGAGTAATGATGCCATTCGGATCCATGGGTTCCTTCCAGTTGAGGAAGATCTTATCTTCAAAAGGAGTTCCCTTCACTGACTTGGCAGGGATGGGGCCTGGCACTACAAACGAAAACAAAACTTTAGCAAAATAGGAAATTCAAGAGACAGACTATCTAAGGAGATGGCAGTGCATCCTATGAAAACCAAAAGCCAACACGGATCAATTCTTATTATCATCCATTCGCATGTGAAAGAGAGGGGTAGAGGCTATGAAAATGCACATCAAAGAGGATTTTGTCATTCACCGACCAGAGAGAGCATGAAGTTGGAATGTTATCCTCAAATATGGTTTTCAAAGACTTTATGCAAAGTCAAAGCTTCTTGTAATATTGCCAGGGGAAATAGTTCAGGCTAGATTATGACTTTAGGTGTTCAGGGAACATCACTGAATTCTGTAATAAGCACATCTAAGGACAAGCACTACATGGTTTTAAAATCCTTTTAAAAAGAAAAATCAAAGGTCAGGACAGCACATGTTATACAGCATCTTCCAAATGAGAGAGACACTCACAAAACAGTTTCCAGCCACCTTGCCTTATGATCTGTTTTATTAAAAAGAAATCTTTGTTTAGAGAGGGGGGCTGGAAATGGAGAGGGCACAGCAGCTCAGCTGCCACTTCTTTCAAGGACTAAAATGTTCATGCGGCAGAAGGATCAAAACTGCTTACTTCAATCCTTTCAAATAAAAACTATTTTCAAAGCTTTGAACTGAACCACATTAAGATGACCCTACTTTCTTATTGTAATGTAACCAATGTCCCTGGTGTAATAAAAAGTTTAAAATGTCAGCACAGGCTTCCTTGCCTGAATGATTCACGGTACCTGGAAATCTCATCAGCACCAGATGGGAGCACTTTGCTAGCTCCCGTTTCACCTTACAAAATATTTCTCCCTATACATATGGCTCCTTTTTAATCACAACAACTTGCATAGATAAGACTCAGTGCATTTAAAACAAAAAAAAACCAAAAACAATTGACAATAAAAACCCCTACATAACAAATACCTTTCTCCGAACAAAAACAAACAAACAAAAAAAACAATTGACAACAAAAATCCCTACATAACAAATACCTTTCTCCAAAAAGTCAAATTTCCTAAACCTGCAGTCTTTCAACCTCTTTGTCACCTCTATTTAAATATGGAGACAATATTTCTCTTCCTTTCTTAATTAGTTTATTTTCTTCAATGCAATCTTCACTGAGCCCCATATGTGATGTTTCCTGGATATTAATTTTCAAAGCATACTGAAGTTTCATAAAGAGCAAAAATAACAATAATAAAAGCACTAGATGAAAGGAAGTGCAAGGCACTGTATTAGCAGCACCAAGGACTGAGTGGTCTGTCCCAGTAGTAGGATTTATTTCCATGTATAAGAAACTATAAATGATGAGCTGACCCCTGATACAAGTAACATAATTTGGTACATTAATAATAAATTCACAGAGTCAAAGAAGCCCACGAGCAAACAGATGAGAGCTTTGCAGAAACTGTTCATCCATCTGTCAAGCAAAGACCGGGGAGAAGCTAACTAAAATCATACACTGCTGTTTTTCTTCAGTGTATTGATGCCAAGCTGGCGGTAGGTAAGGGCTGCTATGCCATGACAGCCCCTCTGTGCTGGGTGCTGCTTCACTGTTTTCCTTTCTACAGCACAACCAAGATATGCCTATTCTCCAATGCACATACATTTTCCCCACAAGATGTGCATGTGTTTGCATGTGCATGTATGCACCTGCATGTGAGAGGGCATACAAACGGATTGGGACGTACAGAATATGGCATTCGCTATTACAACTTGTTAAACCACTTGAAGTAAAAAAAAAAAAAAAAGGCCAGTTTTCTCAAAAACCCACAAAACATTCTTTGCATGTTGCTTTTTTTTTTCAGCTGAAACTGAGTGCGGGGCTACATGAGTCTTGGGGATGCATGAAGGCTACATTTCTGTCTAAAGATCCCAGTGGGAGAAGCCTGCAGGCTCATCACATCGCATGAGCGTGCACTCTTCTGCACTATAAAATTCCTTGCTTGTGGCAGCAGCAATGTTAAACTGACTGGAACTACACGATCCCACTTAGTTTCATGCTTCTCTTCCCACTGGCATAAGAAGGGCACAAGACGAAAAACTAGTGCAATGATGATCAACTTGCTGGCAATCCCAGGAAAAATAAGGTCAGAAAGTAAAGGAGAGGGAAATGCCCGAGAAGAAAGAACAGTAATTCCCACATACCTCACCTCTACCCACAAGTTCACCAAAAAATGAAGCTTGGGATCAACTGAAACTGTTCAAGAGTCCTATTGGAATTATAAACAAAAGATCAAGTGCCTAGACAGACAGGAATGAAAAGTTTCAGTTTAGTTTGAAGGAGACATTTTGGCAGGTCTGAAATTACTTCCTTCCATTTCTCAGTTCAGCTCAAGTAAAAATCCCTTTTATTTGAAGTTTTACCAAAGGGACACAGGGAAGGGAGGAAAGTGAGAAACAGAAGAAAAGGAACCTGCTCACAGGACACAGCATCTGTGGGCAAGTGCACGGACTTATCAGCCTGGTTAGTCCAAGTAACACCCAAGCCCGTCACATTTATTTTTTTATGTCTTTGACCTCAGGGCCTGTATTAGTTACACATAGAAATGCTAAGAAAAAAAAAGGGTTAAAGCATAAAAAAGAGAGAGAGACCAACATAACCTTTGGGCAACATTATTTTGAAAACTCCAAATGATTCTTTCCACTTAGGCAGCCATTCCCATCTATTCCCTAAGACTCCTGGAGGGACCGTAAGGTCTCAAGAAATAACACCAAGCTTCATATTTCAAAGGCAGCGCTAAAAGCCTTCACTTTTATATAATATTTAGCAAGCACTCAGGTGACAAGCAGTTAGGTAAACATCATCTTTCTTTTGCTAAAATCTTCCAGAAGGCTCATCACAAATAGCCCAAAAGTTACAGAAGGCTTTCCAGAGAGTTACACATGCCTGGCCCAAGCACCCTGGCCAGCTGAGCTGCCTGGCCAGCTACTCTCTCCTTTCAAAGCAGCTTCGGCCCTTGTAGTTATGAACAGGACACACTAAATTAACACACGGAAGACTACTGAGAGTGTGTATTAACGTGAAGTACATGACCTAAGATTCCATATCAATGGCCAGTTATCTGAAAAACTGAAAAAAAAAACCACCAAAAACCTAAATAGCTTTTACAGGAGTCAAAATCTAAACTTTTGGCCTGTGAGCCACTTCTTCAAAAAGATTCTGGTCTCATTGATTTTCTTTCCACCTACTGATCTTACAAAGTGCAGCTCTCTACCTCTCAGCGACACTAACAGGGCATGCTCTTGCTTTGATATGCACTACCCTGCGTTAAACTTCCAACAAGCCAAGATTTACACATATCTAAAAAAATGAAATCAGTTAGGCAGGTTTAAGTATATGATGATTTTTCACAGGAGATTTTGAACTTAAGTAAGAAATGTGGGTTTTTTTTCCCCTAAAGAAATATATATGCGTATGATATATAACACATACAAAAATAACATAAAACAAGTTCAAAGGGAATTTCAGCAGCGATTCATAGTGAAAATATCACAAGTCCTTCTTTCATGATTTACATGCATCTCGAGGGCCCTTTTAATGAAGCTATATATTTGTATAGCGAATAGCTGATAATCTTTTTTTCTATGTACATGTAGTATGGCAAACTTTTACAAATACCATGCATAATAAAGTCACAATCCATCAATCTGACATTAGACCAATTCATTTTAGAGCAATAAATTTTTGCATTAAATTATGTCATAGCCACGAATAAATTGTTATTCACAAATAGTGTCAGCTAAAGCTTGTTCTGCACTAGCTTAACAGGGAATTTATATTACAGAACATTACTTCTGGAAGAACAATGTATTAACTGACACCAAACACTATAAAAACGGATTTATATTGCTTCAGTTTTCCTGCTACAAAATAATGAAAGTGTATGTAAACAGTGTATTTTTATTATTATTATGCACTGTGAAAGCCATGCAGAGTGTTATTACGCTCTACAGCGAAGGCTGTATGGAGATATATGCATAGTTATAGTGGGAAAAATTCCTTTGTGGTACTCAAAAAGTGTATCAGCAAGAAACTTACAGCCCTCTTCTAAAGGAGGATGTTCAATCTGGCAAGAAGGTAAAAGTCAGCTTGTTCTACTGCTTAAGTGTTACAGGCAATTAAAATGGCTCACCATTACACATGCTTTTTCCATAGTCAGAGGTGAAAAAAGCCAGGATTTACCATTGTAACTTTATGATGTTTCATAATTCTGGCAAAAAATAGATATAAGGGGGGTTGGACTAGAGGATCTCTAGAGGTCCCTTCCAACCTTAACCATTCTATGATTCTATGACAGGGAAATCTTACATAATAAAGAAAATAGAATAAATTCAGGATAGCTCTGTGAGACATTAGTAGTCTTTACCATAAGCATATTTATACCAAAGGAGGTCATAAAAATGAGTTCTTCAGAAAACACTCGATTTGCACCATCTGCAGCGGAGTACCCTGCTATCAAGAAGGAAGCAGGCTGAATACTAACAGTGTCCCTAAGCACATATACATGGCCCCTCTGCTCTCTGGTACATGTCGGGTAGCTGAGGCTTCCCCTCCCATAGCTGGTCCCTGGGAGATGGCAGTGCCAGAGGCTGGGATTGAGCTGGGCTGCCTGGGCACAGGGAAAGCCCAGAGTAGGCTGTGGTGCTTGGGGACACTGGGGACACTGCCCGAATCCATCAGCATTACCCAGTGTTACAATTTGCCTATTGAAACCCGCGCTGACTGGCTCATGCCTGTGACTTTCCAGGCTGTAAGACTTTCCATACAATACAAAATGATTATTTTAACTAATGTAGCTGCTTAAACACTCACAACCAAGCTATTAATGAAGCTAAATGACAGTGGTTAATTAGTCTCAGAGGTACCAGGGACTAACCACAGATAATAGTATAAACGTCAAACAGGGATAAATCCTTCAGGTTTGGGTTTGCTGAATTCCAGGACCTAATCACCTAAGCCTGAAAGGAGATTTTT